ATAGATAGATAGATAGATAGATCACCCTATAATTTACATTTTTAACTTGTTCAGTCAATTATTCTTTCTTTGTACAGTCAAACCTCAGTTTTTGAACGTCTCTGTTCTCGACCAAATCGGTTTTCGACCAAAAATTTCGAGTTTTTTTATGCCTCGCATTACGACCGAAATTCACTTGAAGCACACTTGAATGCGCCACTCGACTTCTCTGGACTTCCTTAAACGAGGAAGTGACGCTTCCTCGGATTGACGAAGAAGTGACACCTCCGTTGTGAGCAGACGTGTTCAATAAATTTTTTTTTTTTTAAGAGAGCGTCCATTGTGAGCAGACGTGTTCAAAGATTAAAAAAAAGAGCGTCTATTGTGAGCAGACGTGTTCAATAAAGATTTTTAAAAAAGCAGACGTCTTTTTTGAGATTGACGCAAATTGGACTGTTATTTCTGCATGGCACCAAAGAAAGCAAGTGGAAGTAGTAAAGCTGATGAGAAAAAAAGGAAAATAGTGCACAAAACTATTGAATTTAAGAAAGATTTGATAGTGAAATATGAATCAGGTGTGCATGTGTCTGTGTTGTTCGGCATGCCAAAATCATCAGTATCCTAAAAAAGAAAGACCATCATAAAGTCAGTGATGTGGCTAAAGGATCCCGTGTGTTTAGTGAACAAAGGCCACAAATATTAGAGGAAGTGGAGAAACGTTTGCCTATTTTCATAAATGAGAAACAGCTGGCAGGGGACAGTCTTCGCCAAGATACGATTTGTGGCAAATCAAGACAATTGTATGGAGATTTGATTTAAAAAAAAAAAAAAAAAAAAAGGATCCTAGCATTGCTCCTGGAGAGTTTGATTTTAAAGCAAGCAGAGGATGGTTTGAAAAGTTGAGGAAAAGAAGTGATTCGTCATGGGGAGGCAGCCAGTTCAGACAAGTAAGGTGCTGAAAAGTTTAAAGTTGAGTTTGAAAATCTCATCAAGGCCGAGAAATGTCTTCCCCAGCAAACTTTTAATGTGGACGAGACTGGACTTGTGTGGATAAAGTGGTTCAGAAAATGGATGGAGTGATGTTACCTCGTACTGTAGTGTCGGATTGCAGACAGAGCGTCCATAGTTACAGCCATTACTTTAGGGTTGATAAATTCAAGGTGTAAAAGAATGCAATCTACAATTGTCATTGATGAGTGAGAGAGAGAGAGAGAGGGAGGGAAAGAGAGAGAGAGAAAGAGATGTTCAATTTTTTGTGTTGCAATGTCAATGTTTATGTTAAAATTGGTAAAAATAAAACATACAAAATGTTTGTAGTTTGTTGTTACCTGCTCCCTTATTACACGTGTATACAGTTTATGGTGTAAAATAGTTGAAAAAATGCTTTTAAAAAAGTTATTTTCTGGACTTGAAACGGATTCAATTTTTTTACATTAATTCTAATGGGAAACATGGTTTCGGTCTTCGAACAATTTGGGTTTCGAACAGCCTTCTGGAACGGATTATAGTCGAAAACTGAGATTTGACTGTACCTTATGTGAAATTTTATTACACATGCATGTTAAATATTGTGAAAAAAACATTTTTATTTGACCCACACCATTAAATACATTAGCATAAAATATCAAGAGATCATTCTCATAATACTCCAATTGAAACGAGGTAACGACTGTTTCTTTGAAACAGGCGAAATAACATGTCTCAAGATGTCTGAAGACATTCAATGTCTTCAAGACAAAAAACTCACTGTGCAACACTGTGCTGCTCTGTCATGTCTAAAGAAAGTGGTGGCATCTTCTAATGTTGGACTTAAAGACGGCTTGATTTTGGTTATTCAGACATCTTAAGACATCTCGAGACACTTTGAAGAAGCTGTGTCCCCTTTGCAAAGTACTTCCATTCCGTTCGTAGTCATTTTGCAATAGTGTAAACACTGCATTTTGAATCACAGAAGCTGCTCAGAAAAAAAAGACATTAAAAAAGGTTTGTAGTGACCCAAAAATATGAAAGAATAAATAAAATCAATTAATCACACAGCCATAATTAAGATGAGACAACAGACTAAAAGTAAGCAAAAATTATCCATTGCTAAATGGAGTCATTTACAGTATATAATCCAAGAGACAACTGACAAATCCCCAAATTCAGTGAAACAATCAAACACATCTTTATGTTGTTATAATATGAGTTTATGATATACCTGAATTGTTTCAGCTCACTTATGTCTCCATAGGCAAGGTTTAGCGTTTCAGGACGACTGGCGTAGAAGTAGTCCTTGTATTCATCCCACCATACCTCCACAACACGAACATAATTCTGCAAACATGCACACACGTTATTTATATTTGGTTCAAGTAATTTGAACAAACAAAAACAATGTAGAAACAATTACCGTATTTTCCGCACTAAAAGGCGCACTGAATTATGAGGGGCACCTTCAATGAATGGCCGATTTTGTAATTTTTTTCATATATTGGACGCACTGGATTATAAAATGCAATCTACAATGCATTCACTCGATGGAGCTATGCTCCTTCTGTTGGACTCGAAAAGCGTTCCTGACTGTCTCCAAAAAACGTAAATTAACGATTACTTCAATGACACTACGAAAATTGAAAATAATGCATCAAAACAGAAACTCAAGCGAGGAAATCACAAAATAAATTCTATAGCCCCCCCCCCTTACAGAATTTATTTTGGCATTTCCTTGAGCGTAGCTCCAACAGAATGATCAGATGTTGTCTTGTTGTCTGTTTAAGAGGGAGGACATTTCATCTGTGTGGAATGTTGTACTTGACTTGACATGTCAGTAAAATGTAGGAGACTGGACTGTCTCAGAATTGTTTCTTTATTCCTTTGTTGTGTACTGTTTTCACAAACGAGTAAATCACAAAATAAATTCTGTAGGGGGGCTATAGAATTAATTTTGAGATTTCCTCGCTTGATTTTCTGTTTTGATACATTGTTTTCAATTTTCGTAGTTTCATTGAAAGAATCATTAATTTACGTTTTTTTTGGAGGTGGTCATGAACGCCTCTCGAGTCAAACAAAAGAAGAGAAGGCACAGAGGCGGACAAAGACGTACCCGTATTTGTTGAGACTGTGAAAACCATGAATAAAGTGTGCGGTTTAAAAAACAACACAACAGCTCTCCTTTTTTTGGAGCTGCAACAAAAAGTTATTTAATAAGGCAGCGACACAGTCATACATGGCAATTTTCCGCGGATCCGCGGAAATCCGCCGTTTTATTTCTTAAATTGATCATTTTTGTGAATCGTCTAAATCCGTTGAGAAAATTTTAGGGGCGGTCAGGTACCTTATCGTCGAGTTTTCACGAGCTCTCCCGAACAGTCTCTCCGTTTTCCGTTTGTAAACAGCCCTGCGATTGGACGTGTATGAAAGCTTCAACTAATCAGATCACTGAAGGCATTATTTGTTGCGGAAGTCTTAGCTCGATTATAAACGGCCCAGCGATTGGTTAACTACAAGCGATTGGACCAATCAAATTGCAGGTAACATATTGTTTTACCTGATTCATGGCGGCCTGTTCGTCTCGCAAATTCATTGTTCTGGGATCGTTTTGAGCGGAATTATGAAATTTTTGACGAAAGATCAGGAGTCTTTAATCCTAGAAATTGACTCAAATGTCAAGAATAAATT